AGCCCTAGATATTACCCTATGTACCTTACAAAATCCTGTCTGACCATACATCACTGGATATTTGCGGCAGGATCGCACACTCGAAGCTCAGCGGCTCCCCAGCACGCGAAGAGCGAGCGATGCCAGCGCGGAGCTTAGAGCGGCAGGGATCATTAGTCATTAGTCGCTGTACATATTGAAGTTATAAAAGGAACCCAAGACCGTAATGTTGATAATTGGGTCCCGGTGCTAGGATAGTGCGATTGCACGTCACAAAGCTATGATTACCGCACTATTCTCTAGGGCCTCTGCTCAGCAAGGTTTTCCACGATTTCGTTACCATCGTGCGAAGCGCTGGTTTGTTGTTTGAAAGTTCTGCTCAAAGATATTACCGGCGGTGCATCTGAGGTACGACGGTACTGTCGACACAGGTGCAAGCTGAGTTTGCTACTTTCTGCGGTCTTTGAGCCAACTCGGCGAAGCCGTGTGCTTCCGTAGAGTTGAGTGTTGGCCTTTGATCATCCTGCATCCACACTTCCCTGCCCAGCACTTGCCTGGTTTGTCCAAACGCCAGTCACTTCGCCTCTGCGCCGAGCTGCTTGGCGGACAGGTGGGAGGGATGATGGGTGGGTCTTTGTCAGGACAGGTTTAGGGGTTTAGGGTTTAGGGGTTTAGGGTTTAGGGTTTTGGGTTCTAGCAGAAGTGAGAATCAGAGTTGATTTCCATACCGAAGCTCCAAATACAACAGAAGCTTCGGCAGAATCCTACGATTACGGACAGCTGCTTGGTCCCTTGGTGGCACAACGGCTTTGTTTAGGCTAACACTGTCCCTGATTGGAATCCTGCGCAGTGTTTTCCCAGTACTGTGCACTGCTCCTCCATGAGAATCTCTGGCATAACAGCCTGTCAGCTTCTTTCGCAGGCTTTGTTTTGAGGGTTCAGTCAATGCCCTTCCTACTGTACTTCCCTCTACTGCAGCTTAAAGAACACCCAAGATCCTACTTTGGCTCCTTCTGCTCATTAAGAGGTCCTTTAATAGTGGACGCAGGGGCCTCTTGTAGTTGATTGGTGTCCCTGATATAGCCCACAATCAGGAACCCATGTCCATTACGTAGACTGTGACGGAAATGTTGGCTTTAGCTCATATGATAGGGGCTGCTATGTACACACAAGCTTGCTTATCCGGTAGGAATTCCAGCGAAGCCATCGTATTCTGGTGCCTCGTGTGCCTCAAAACTTGCTTACCTTTGGTTAGCTAGGAATGAAGGAATGGATGCTTCTTATAGTCCCTATATAACCCATTATAGTAGTTTCCATGTTCTTTTCCATTCCTTCCTGCCCAGCTAGCCAAAGGTAACCTCTATATTCCCCCAGCTTCCACTTAATTTCCCATTTTCTTTTCCATTTGATTCTCAATTATTGGGGTACTACATATCCACATACAACCCCTTTCTAAGGCCGAGCCCCAATAAGCTGAAGTAGTTGCGCTCAGATTTTCGATGTCAAAAGCCTACGAGGCTATTCATGCTCTCGATACGATCCCAATGGTCGTATAGATCGACATAATGGTGGTATAATCTCCACACATGTTTCAAATGACGTGCCAACTTCACGATTTTTTTAGTGTAGGTAGTTCATAGGTAGGACTCCCAGCGGGAGCTCACACTCCTGTACCTAGAATCGCTCAGACAATCTCCGATCAATCCTTGCCTCCTCATGCGTTATCCCTCCCTAAACCTGAAAGTACAGAATCATGTATAGACCGAGCCAGTAAAAGCTGGCAGGTCTATCGCGTAATGCCTCGAAGCCGCACCGTGGCAGTGGCAATACCGAATTGTATCAACTGGCGATGGTTAGCAGGCTAAAGGTTTAGGGTTTAGGTTTGTTGGAGGGTGCTTTCCAGGTTTGCTGATCCCATAGATGCTTTCTAAAGAGGAAGAACTTGAGATTTGCTTTCCAAAAGCTGGCGATGCTAGACTATGTATACTTTCATGCTGAGGCACACAGTTGGTCCCAGCATGGTTCTAAAGAGATGCCAACGAGTACCGAGCCTCTCCTCAACCTCAACTGTGCTTGTTTGATCAGAGGCCTATCCTACCCAATAAGTGAAGTCAGCTGTGTGCTGAAGTGACTTCCCCCCCCAAGAGACTTCCACTCATCATTACAGAACTCCGCGCCAGAGATTCCAGACACCACCAGATTCTTGTCCATTGCTGATGTGTTAATCCAGAGCTGCGATGATCACGCTGACTCGCGCATCAGCTTTTGAGACACAACGTCACCCCACATCTACACTCCTTGGACCCCCAGACATGCTTCCTGCAGCATGATCTTTGCTTTGGGCACACGGGTTGTGGATTCGCAGTTTTCCACTTAAGATATGGCTTGACCCTTGCAGTTCAGCCAAGGAAGCCCCTCACGGCCTTCTCGAGCATCTCAGCCACGTAGCAGAGGTGCATGGCTCTAAAGGTTTGAGAGCCGCAGTCCGGCTTGGACGCAGGTTCCGCGCAGTCACTTCTGAGTTGAAGGAGGGTTTGATGATCGGTTTTTGGTGAAAGTATATCAGGTTCCTTTTGAACATTGGTGAGTGTATACATTGGGTGTCCAATCAGGGACCATACATGGAAACATTGGCGATTTGTGCTCAGACTTGCACTGGCAGTGGCAATGCGAAAGAAAGTTTTTAATATTACCGCTGGCGCGTTGATACCTAGAACATCCTGAATGAACAATCTTTGCAGTACAAACACACCACATGTCTACCACACATCTACAGATGATTAATCACCTCCCCCAGTATTAGAAAACTCCACCTCCTAGTATTATATGTTCCCATTGTGGTATATTATCATCGACTGGGAAGAAAAGTTCATATTAGTGGCTGCAGAGCTTCAATATTAGTTACTGATTGTTAGTAGGGCATAAGGGAATGTACTATAGAGGCAATTTACAGGGATCATATTTCCTGATTCGCGGCGAAGAACCGTAGGATTAGTTACACCACTGATCCGTATGCGAAGGCCCATAATTGATTCGGAAGACCATTTTTATAGTAGCGATACCCTAAACCCTATAAACCCTATAATTCCTATAAACCCTATAAACCCTAAACCTCAGTGACCACTGATCGGAATGCGAAGGCTCCTCGCCTTCTTCCGGGCGGACGGCCTCGCTGACGCTGCCCATGGCCAGGCCGTCTGCAAGCCCGACGAGGGAGGCAAGTGGGAGGTTCTGTAGGGGTGTTTAGGGTGTAGGGTTTGGGGTTTAGGGTTGAGGTGTTTAGGGGGAGGTTCTGTAGTAGGGGTACCTTTAAAGGGAACACAAGGGTACATGCACTATAGTCTAAACTCCTCGAAGGGGGTTATATAGGGGATTATTTAGGAGAGTATTAAGCCTATAGCTCATATCGGGGTTATGCAGGGGTTTTATGGGGATCTCTCGTTAGCGAGGGTCATCCCCAAGTTCATGCCTACGCCCTCGCCTAGACCCCCGCCTCAACCTTCACCCCAACTTATACCGTACCCCTAAATCATAAACAATAGCCAAATCCATCACCTTATTCATTAATACAACTACCCTAGTGGCATGAACTGAGAAATGACCCCTCTAACAGAAAGCCCCAAAGACTATAGCCCTGAATTGACAAATGCCCCATTCCCAGCAATGGAAGTATAATTACTAAAGCCCGGAATTGGGACGTTGCTACGCCGACAACCTCATGATGAAGCCAGTGCGTGCGCCCTGCATCCTTGAAGGGCAGCAGTCCAGACCAACTAGTGTGTCCGGCATTGCGCAAGCAAGCTAAAAGACTTAAATTCAAAAGCCATTGCCGCAGCCATTTTGGCCTCAATCCTAGAACGCGTGACAAATTCAAATTCGGAAGCTTCTCACGAGACCTCAGAGGCTTCAGCCTCATCCAGCCGATCCCGCTGTTTCCTGAAGCCTTGGCGGCGGTGGTGGCCTGGACCATACTGTTTCGTCTTCATCGTCAACGCCACCGCCACAGCTCTACTGTTTCCTGGAGACTTTCATGAGGACGATGTGGACTTGGACCGACTGTGGGACCGAGTTACGGAAGAGACGGGGACGACGTACAATATTACCAAAGCTGATCTCAACTTGTTGCCGTGCCCTGTTTATGGCAGAGTCATCTTCTCCGGATTGCAGTTAGCGAGTTTCAGAGCTGGTTGTGCAGCAGCCTTTCTCCAGAAGAAGGCCCAAGCCTCAGCTCATGCAAGATTGACTTTTAGCTATGCAAGCATCAACTGGTTGCAATCCCTCTTAGCATCAACTAGGGGCGCGAATCCGAGTTGCAAATATGGCGTTTTGACCATGGCCGGCCTTAAGAACGACGTGCCTTCTTTATGCAGGCTGCTGATTTATTTGGTTGGTTTGGCCTGGATGCAGGTGCTCCTTGCTGAGCGACTCGATATCTTGGAACGGGCCTCACATCAGAAATACTACAGCAGCTGCCTTCGTAAATGCATTTGGGTGCAAGGCTTTGGAGTCACGGCGGCTGCGCCTCTACTTGTTGTTTGGGAAATGCGCGACTTGCTTTTCCCGACTGCTGGTCTGACTGCTGTATTTGCTGGAATAATTTTCGCCACCTTGTCTTTCTTGTGCAACGTTGGAGCAAGCATGTTGGCGATTGGCTCCTTCGTCAGATGCTTCCAGCGCCTCCGGAGCGTTTTGCACTTTGCTGCAAAAAGTGAAGCCACGCCAGTTGCTGCGAAATCTTCCCTAGTGCGAGCCCGCAGGCTTGCCGCTCTGCAAGCAACGGGTGTATCCTGCAGCCTTGTGCTGTCGATTTTGGTAGGTCCTATAGTGCTTGCGCTTGCAGCAGGGATTGTCTTTTTGGGTCCGCTGGCATGGGCTTCTTTTTTGCTTCAGTTTTTCGATGTCCTGGGCAATGCAGCTGCGGTGCTGCTCCTGTCAGGTAGCCACAGGTTGCCGGAGGGAGACAGCCAACCAGGCCTAGAGAGTCAAGAGACACGCTGCTGCACGTGCCGTTCACGGCCTAGGGCAGTGCCGCAAAGGAGACTACATGGAGTCCCACTTGGAAAGCGACAGTTGAAGAGCTTTCACTGCGGGGCATGACCTTGCGTGCCCTGCTGCATTTTTATTATGAAGACTTGCCTACCATGCCAGACTGGCAATATGCCCCTCAGGAACACAGGACCAGGGATGTGGTCCGCAGGGTGATCATTCCTCTCACTTGCAGAGACGAATCTTCATATGCAGCTTGGTTGAACTTTGCTGCCATGTTTAGCTTTACGGTTTCTTCGGGTGTGAAGGTTAAGCCTTCTTGATATTGAAGGCACCAAAACTTGTCTTTTTAGCTGGGTAGTAAAGGGCAACCCAGGCAGTTTCAGCTTTGAACCGGGACGCTGCTAGACGACCCCAAGTCATGGTGACCCACAATTGGGGAAACTGCTGCAAAGACTTGCTCGCAGCAGTCGTCTCAGATGCGCTGATGGAATGCAGCTTTAGCTTGGTGGCAAAGCTGCTGGAGGATGATTGTGGCTTCCTGGTTGAGCTCCTGAACCGCAGCAGTCGCTTGGACGTCCCATACTGGATTTGTGCATTTGCGGTCAACCAGCACAGTTGCATATGCCACTGCAATCCTTACGACCGTGATCCGCTTACAAATGAGTTGCATCCGGTTTGCACTTGCGGTAGCGTCAACATCTCCGATCCATATAGCCGGAGCACCGTTTCAGAGATCAACAAATTCGATGACATGATGTATCACCTTGCAACCACTGGAGGCTGCAGGCAAGTGATTGCAGTGGACCAAACTTTTGACATATTTCATCGTGCGTGGTGTGTCGCTGAGCTTTCAGAAGCCAGGCATTTGCAAATGAAACAGTCGTTGCAAATTGAGTCGAAAGCGGCCATCATGCGACATGCAAGAACTTTGCAAGATTTGGATGTGCGGAGCATGCGTGCATCTTCCGAAATAGACCAAGAACTTATACTCAACAAGATAACAGACAGAACGAGCATCGACGAGTTCAACACAGAGCTGCAATGGCTCATTCGTGACAGAAAGTCCGGCCTTCCTGCATCCTGGCATACCATGGATAGTTTGCAACAAATTGGAGAAGCCGGCCGTCTGATTCGATGGGGTCTTGCCGATGCAGGGACTGGGAAGGTGTGGAAAGCATGGGGCGCCCATGAATGAGCCTACTTCCAGGCTTATTATACAAACATATACAAACTTTTCGTGTCCCTAATTCGCATTAATTTGTCGCACGGCCAAAGACCGCTAAGCCGTGTCTTGCATCATAGACGCCTATGGAAGCTACACGCTAGATCAGAGCACCCGATGCACAAAACAGAGGTGCTGTCCAAGCTCTTATGGCAGTGATCGCCATGGCTTCTCCGCCAACCCTTCGGGGGACCCCAATATAGATCCCAACATGCTATAATCATAATCCTCATTATGGGAATCAGGGAATCCTTGATTGTTGGACCCTCCCATCTCTCCAACAACATCACGTCCCTGCAGGTCGAAACCGTGCGACCTCCAGAGCCATCCAGATATGGAACGCCCAGTGTCTGCCTCTGGGGCGGCAAGAGTCAGCTGGATCTAACCTTGGCAGGAGTTATGATTCTGCAGCTGTTCCGGGTTTAGGGTTTAGGGGCTGCAGAGCATCGTGGGATGTAGGTTGAGTCGTGCGGTGCACAGCCGAAGCATCAAGGCATGTCCACGATGCCACCGCAGCAGGCGGGACAACGCAGCAGATGCCCTGTGTTTTCGGGTTCCAAGCAGTCAGTCTTCTAACTTGTGTTGAGTGCTTCTCATGACTGTATTAGCACACTCAAGTCATCCAGCTCTACTCCTTTCAGGACGCCATGAGGAAGCTGCACACTTCCCGTGGCAGGTGTACTGTTATTTCCCAAGTATTGCTTTGGTATGCATGCCCGGGACCCCAAAAAACACAAGCCAATCTGACTGGTGGGACCGCAATGCAAATCCTTCATCATGGTCTGTAAGCAGATCGCGAACATTTTTCCGAAGGAGTAAATCGACAACCCTGACCGTCCTATTTACCCCACGCCTTGATACACTTTTTTTCTTACTCACCTAGCTTCCATGAAGCTCCATTCGCGTTCTCTGCAGATTGGCACCGTTGCCACCTCCAAGCAGTTTGTCTACCCTCCGTCCCAGGCAGATTTGCCATGATGTCTTGTTGACGGAACATGAAACGGAAATTATGTGGTTTTTAGGCTCTGTTGCTTCTTGCTAGTTGCTACTATTATTGATAGGGTATGAAGGGTCGGGTAAGAAAATTAAAAAAGATATTCGTCGGGATTATGAAGTGGTTGCTACAGAATACTATAGGGTTCATCTCTGACAAGCGCGTCATGCTTGCGAAATTGACGTTGTTGTTCGGGGTTCATGGTAACAGCGGTTCGTTGAGCACGATAGAACTTGAACTCTGCATTTAATTCTGCGGATATGCCGCTGTTGGAAGATGATTTGCATTGCGGGTTGTCAGAGAACCTTTATGGCTATCTCATTCTATGGAGAAGATTGTATCAGCCCCATCATTCGCCAACAAGGTAGTGCAAGATGGAACTGGCTTACAACAGCCAGGCACAGCTGGGAATAAGGCCACAAAGCGCGGATCCTTCCTTGCACCACATTCCAGGCAAGTCCAAGCAATGTCGGAGCTATGCCACGCTGCAACTAGCTGTGGCAATTGCTGGAAACTAGCTGATCTTGTATCGTCTTCTGCAAGACAATGCTAAAATCCTAGTTTGTTGGGGGCCACCATTCCGCTACAGGTTGTCGTATATCGCCATCCTCCGCTCTCTGCTGGAGTGCGTTCACAGGCTCAGCTGGGGCCTCAGCGGGTTCAGCCGAAGACCCTGGAAGTTGACAGAGTGTTGGATCCTTGTTGGAGGGAGGGCTGAATTTGTAGGGAACCTGAGGTGTTTATATTGGGGATATATTGGGATAATGAAAAATCGAAACGACTAAACTATAGGAATCTGAACCCGCCCTTAGCCAGGCATCAGGGAAGCATTGGAAGGCTCAGATGCGAGGTTTCTTCAGCTCGAGGCAAGCGGCCTTTTACTGCCTGGATCCTACAGAAGCATTATTAGATAGATATTGCAAGATCTGCACGATCCACTGCGCCTGCCCACAAATATTCCTGATTTTGTGTCCGTCGGCTGAGGGTCCCATGGCATCAGCAAGAAGAACTCGAATACGGACATAGACTGAACTGACTTGCTGCAATGTATTTCCCGTGTACTCCAAAACGGGTTATTTGTGGAGTGAGCTGGCAAACATCAAAGCTGGGTTCCTTTTGAGGACATGGTGCTTTGGCCATTCTTCCTGAAGCCGGCCTTGCGCAATGGTAGCTTCAGAAGCCTTCGGTGCTAAACTCTGAAAACCATCGAGCTAGGCTTGAAGTCCAAGACTTCGCCCACTCATGCAAACCGCAAATCACCGACACCCACGCTGTGGGTCTGAGTAACATATGGGGGTTTCCCAAAATTAGGGTACCTTATTGAGGGTCCCAATAATGAGGATCATAGTATATTGGTGTGTATATCGGGTTCCCCGTTTTAGGAAAATACCATATCACACATTTGCCTGAACCACATCCTACGACTTCAACAGGCACTAAGTACCCAACTGTTGGATCCTAGCTTTTAAGGGACTCTACCCTAGGTAAGCAACCCAGTGCTATCTCGGGGCTTTGTTTGCCCTAGCAACTACAGGCTCCCTGTAGCAAAGGATACCGATTTCCCCCCGTGTCCGGTAATCATTGCTGCCACATGAGCTATGTCTAAACTCTTTCAAGGGCGTTATATGGGAGATATTATAGGGGAACATTATAGGATTTGGAGTTAAGCTTACAGCTCACATGACTCTTGAATATAGGACTGTACCCTTGAAGACAATTCCATTTCAGGCCCTTCCATAGTTGGGCAATGGCGCAAGTCTAGAGCAAAAGCCCAGGCTCAGAGCGCCGACGGTGCCCCCAGACGCCGCAATGCTACGATCCACAGGCATGCGCTAGAGCCTGCTTCCAGGTTCATGGATGGGTATGAGAGAGGTTCATGGGATGACGGGGGTTGTCATGTACGGGGGTGAGGTATTATAGGGGTTACATCGGGGTTACATTGGGGTTATATTGGGATATTTTAGGGGTAGATAATGAAAAAGAACATGGAAACTACTAATGTAGGGTATATGCGGGTATCTTAAGCTTGTTTGGCTGTTCTAAGTGAGGCTACAGACATGTGACTTTGGATGCAACTATAGTTATGCTACTTGTAACCTAAAACTGCCCAGCGACACAGAGTTTCAGTCAAGGCCGCGGGGCGCGAATTTCATGGTCGCTATGTTTACTCCACCTCGTGTAGTCCTTTTTGGAGCTACCGCGGCCAGATTTGAAGCAAAGGGCTAATCCCCTTGAGCCCTAGAGCCTAAACCCTAAATCCTGAACCTAAATCCTAAACCCTACGTCCTAAACTCTAAGGCCTAAGGTTTATTCACAGCCGATTCATAAGGAGCTTTTCACATCAACCTGAGCAGCCCCTGCTTTGTACCAAGGTGCCCAAGAATTTCCAGGTTGTCTTCCCCCCAGATGAGCCGTAGTCTAAACTCCTTAAAGGGGGTCATATGGGGATAATACAGGGGAGTATTATAGGTTGTAGGAGTTTGGACTAGAGCTCATGAACTACTGATGAAAACTGCGCTTTAAAGCGCCAAGTGGGCACTTCCAAAGAAACCGGGGTCACGGGGTGATGGTGATAACCTTGAACCCAAAACCCCCAAACCGCATACATGCTGAAGTCCTCGAGCTGGGACACGTGAACCCTGTTAACCTCTATGCCTGTATGGCCACCCTTCCAAGGTTTAGGGTGTAGGTAGTCAGAGGATTTTGGTAACCCCAACCCGTAGGACAAGGACTATCAGCATCATATGATAGTCAGAGGGTTCTCATTGCGGGGTTGGAGTAGCCAAAATCCGTTCAATACCTAGTATAAATGTTTATGTTGCCTTATACAACTCCTGTATAGACCAAGTCTGCATTTCATGGATTCCCCATTATCCCTGTATCATATCCTCCCCACAACTCCTTCGAGGAGGCCAAAAGTTTCCATTACATGTTCTTTTTCATCTGACTCTTTATTGTTGGAAAACGTCCCTGAACCCTCAACCCCCTATGTCGATATAATCCCCTCTACATATACATGTGTATACATATATATATATATGTGGGCGCACCCAATAACCCATGTACAACCCCAATAACCCCTATATCATATCACCCCCTACATTACAGTGTAACCTGGCCAGGACTTCTCCTTGCCGAGCGCGCTGCTCGCCCTCCTCTTTTGGTGGACACTTTGGGTTTAGGAATGGTTTAGGGTTTTAGGGTATATAGGTAACGTAGGGTGCCCGAAGAGTCTGAGCTTTGGTTGCAGGCTTGGGATCATGGAGTTGCTTCTAGGACGACTATGTAACGTAGTAACATTGAGTGCCAGAATTCGTTCCCGCGCGCCAGATTTTGGAGGTCTTGGGTTCCATTCTGAAGGCGCTATGGGTGATCCGGGCACATAGATGAGGGAATCTGCACGTACCATCTAGCATCCAAATTGTAGTGATTCAGGAACAGGTCTACCCCCCAAACTCACACGGAACTCATATGGCACGACCTGTTAAAGAATAGTAGCTTTCGTAAGGCGAGGTCCCATGCTAGTTTGGCAAAGGGCAAGGACGTTGGAGAGGATTCTTTAAGTAATCCCTTCATACTCATGTAAGATTCCCTCTCTACCCCATAACATCAAATCTCTTCCTTATTCTACGCGACTATATATGTTGATCATGTTGCACAACATTTTGATTTTTTTGGGGGGTTCTGAATCTTACCATGGAGGGATGAATTCAGGAACATGTCCAGAGAACTTTGTAGATGCTCTTCACAAAAATCGAGGGACTCCCGTAAGGACCCCAATTTTGTATAGTCCTTATCATGGGGACCCCGAAGCCCTAGACCCCCTAAACCCTAAGCCTCTACAGCCCCCCTTAAGTAGATTATGGCTTTGGGTATTTTGTAATCAGATCCCCATCTACCCCATATTCTATCTACTTAAGAGGGACATAGAGGGACTATAATCTTAGAAAACCTCCACGTCCCTTCTGGTTCTGAAGGA